GTCACATATAGTTTCTTGTAATAGGTTCCCTCTTTCCTACCCACTCTCCCTCTACCCTCCCTGTTTCACCACTCACACCACTGGTCCCATAGGGCTCATCCGCCCTGGATTCCCTGTATTTCCAGTCCTATCTGTACCAGTGTACATCCTCTAATTTTTTAAAACAATTGTTATTGAGTTATTGTGAATTGTAAGCAACAATTTAAGCTACTTATCAATCCCCATCTCCAATAGTTTACCTATTCCATTGATTTCTCTTCTACCTCTTGTGGATTGCTATCTTCCCATTCACCCAAGTTAACACGTGAACCCCTCCAGGTTGCTGCTTCAAAACCTGTCACTAAGATGGTCAGACTAGATGGGGCTAAATAATATTCCTTTTCTCTTTCCCGTACAATCTGAGGCTTAAAACCTCTTTGTCATCTGCCTATGTCAGAAACTGGAAGCCATATGTGTGCAGAAAAGACTTCCTGCATCACCCCCTCCTGGCACAGGAGTCAGAGGGAGGCTGATCTCACAAAAAAATATCACCTCATTCATCTATGTAAGTACATGAATGACTGAAGCTCACTGTGAGGCGATGACAGTTTATTACTATGAGTTACAGCTCTCTACAAGTTCATGTTTTCATGTAGGCTTACCCTTTTGCTCCTCAGTAGTAGCTTGAGCAACAATTTCAGTTCAGCCTCAAAAAAAAGAGTACTTCTCACTTTTATCCTGAACCGAACAGACAAGATTCCAACACAAGAATGTGACAGAGCACAGTGACATCACAAGGGGGATGTAGGGTGTGGGGGCCATACCAGGTGACACAGTGAGAGCGGGGAGCCAACATGGCTTCTGGGTGGTGTGTCTGCAGAAATTGATTATTTTTATTACACTTAAGCAATGTATAACTCTCCCACATATTATTCTATGAGGAAACCTGAAGGAAATATTACTCGGAATGTTGTATTGTCCTTTACATGATAAGGTGCACGGGGCCATGACACCATGAGTTGCTGAAATGAGTGACTCCAACCCTGGCGAGGTCTTTGGCAGAGTAGTGAGGAGAGTTCACGGCAGCCATTGAAATCTTATAATAATACCCTATGATGGCGACCTGTCCTCCTACTCGATTATTTACTTACAAATTCAACTTGAACAAGGTTATGGTCAATGATTCTGGAATAAATGTTGTAAAGGAAATCCGAAAAGAATATTTTGACACGGGGAAGAAAAAACAGAGAAACAACTCTGGAGGGTCTGTGTTTCCCAATATGTGCACATGGGGGATCAGACTCCCGTGTAAGTCGTTTTCAACTGAACTTGATTCCTTCTAGAGACTCTGCTGGCATAGTGGATAGACATTGAGCTGTGATCCACAGTCAGTCAGCTGTCCCAAACCACCAGTCTTTCCGAGAGGGGAAGTAGGATCTCTCTACTCTTGTAAAAAGTTGCAGTCTCAGAAACTCATAGGGACAGTTCTACCTTGTCCTATAGGGTCAAGATGAGTTGACATCCACTTGATGGCAGTGAGTTTGCGTCAGTTTGATTCCTTCTCTCTTTTTACATCTTTGTATCATTGTGTGTCCAGGAGCCTCAATGTCAAAGTCAGAAACTGAATTGACATGAGCTTTTATGCCCCTCAAGTGTGCTGGGGCAAGGAAAAAGTTGAGAAACCTGAAGTACGGGGGGAAAACAATGATTGAAGCCTAAGAACTCAAGAAGATTTAATCATGTATGAGAAAGGGTTAAGGAATGATTTGGCATACAAAGGGAAGAAAGAGAAGGGGGGACAAAAAGGACAGGATGTGATGAGCAAAAAGGGCAAGTGTACACTGATTGTGTCGGAATCAGCTGGGCTGGCAGAGATCCGGTGTAGGAAGCCAGGTTGGCCCTGGAAGATAGCTGTTTTCTGGCTTTGCAGGGGCAGGGAGAGGACTCCCTGACTGCGGGCAGAAGGACTTAGGTGACTAAGTCCTGCTGCCCGCTAAGTCCCCCAACTACCTCCTTGCCCAAACATTTCTGACTGTCCCCCTCTGTCCCAATGAGATGAAAAAAAATCCTTCTTCTCAGGCTACAATGGGGAGGCCTAACCTCTGTCATTGACCTTAAACTGCAGCTGCACTCACCGGTTTCCATACTGGTGGAGGGGAAGGGGGTGACATTGAGGAAGTATAAAGGCTGTTTCAGTTCCAATTAGCTGAAGTGAGGTTCTGCTGGCAGCAGGTACCCAAGTGCCCCATCTCAGGGCTCCTTCAGACCATGAACTGGCCCGGCCATGCCACTTCTAGTGGCTGGAGGTTGGGCCTAGATCTCAGAGTCTCTGTTCCCTTTGGGTGGTCCACCCTCAGGACACTTCAGGGAAGTACTCACCCTTTTTCCTCCAGAAGGGCTCTTTGTAATAAACCATACACTTGATGACTGAACCCAAAGGCACACGCGTGATAAACTGGTTTCTCAGCATTGGCAGAGGAGGATTGAAATGAATCTTCATGCCCAGAGTAGGAGGAACAGCACTAATTACATATTTCGCCTACAAAACAAATGTAGTAAAGCATTGTTGGTTGGTTGTTTTGTCTTGCTTTTTCCCCCTCCCAGTGATTGTCTCAACTTCTACCCTTGTGCCTCCTCTTCAGCTGTTTCTTAACATAGAAGTGGGAGGGAGTCAATTAAAACCTCAATTAGACCTCTTGTTCCAATTTTCAATGACTTCCCATCGTGCCTGGAGTCAAAGCCAAGTTCCTCAAAGTCCTATATGTTTCTTCAAGGTCATGAAATAAACAGTTATCACATCTCCTGATACTCTTTCTTACACTCTCCTTGTTTCTGTTATTTTGACCACCGTGCAGCCACTTTCTCATGCCAAGCATCCCCACCTGTGGGGTTTTGCACTGGCCGCACTACCTGCCTAGACCACTTCCGCTCAGACAGCCACAGGGTTGGATCATTTACCTCTTCTAGTTCTGTGATCAAATGGTACCTTCTCAGAGTGACCTTCTCTGACAACCATATTTAAAATTGCATGACCAAGCTTTCACCCGACCTTCTTGCACATTGTCTCCCCCTGACCTGCTTTACTATTTCCATTACTTTTTCCTATCTGGAGGCATCCTGATGATGCGGGGCTCCAGCAATCAGCTGTTAAAGGCTGGCAGTTCAAACCTACCAGCCACTCCTTAGGAGAAAGCTGTGGCAGGCAGGCTGCTTCTAGAAACATTACAGCCTTGGAAATGCCATGGAGCAGTTATACTTGATCTGATAGGGTAGCTGTAAGTCTGAATTGACTCAATGACCAGGTGATTGCTTTTTAATTTTATTACTACTATCTGATATACTTGATATTTTAATTGTTCATTTGATTGTGGGCTTTCTCCTTAATTAAAATATGTTATATGAGGACGAAGATTTTTGTCTGTTTTGTTCACAGCTGTGCTCCTAATTCCTGGAGTGATGGGCACCTAGGATGCAATCTGTTTATCAAAAATGCTTTAGTTTCTTTTATAACTACATACCAGGCCAAGGGAATTGGTTGATAATATATGTTTTTTGTAAATTCCTTTCCTACATATTCTGACTCAACTTTTCCTTTCTTTAGGTAGATTTTGTTTTGTTTCACATTTGGAAGGGACTGTCTATGAATTCTAGGGTATTTGCAGTTAAATGAAAGATTTGGTTATTATTATGAGATTAATTGCATCACCTAAAAAAAAAAAGAAGAAGAAATGCTGAAGTCCTAACCCTAGTACCCAGGACTGGAACCTTGCTTTCAAATAGCGTTTTTAAAGTTGATATCAGTGAAGTGACCATGACGTCATACTGGTATGGGTTGGGGCGGTGTCTCACCGTAAAATAGGGAACAGTGACAGCACAGCAGCTAAGTGGACAGCCACTGGAGCACCCCCGAGACTGCAGGAGACAGATCGGAGGATCTGCTTCTCGACAGATTTCAGCCTAGGAAACCCTATGGGACAGTTCGACTCTGTCACATGGCGTCATCTATGACATGAAAGTGGAAGACCGACTTGAGAGCACCAAACAGCAATCAATATAAGCACAGGGAAAGAGTAACAGCTACACAGAGAAGAAGGCTTTGAAGAAGAGGCGAGATTGGGTTTATGCAGCTACGCTCCAAGACACACCAAGGATTGTTAGGAACCCAAAGCTCGAAGAGGCAAGGGAGGCTTTTCCCTTAGAGTGTACCGAAAGAGCATAGCCCATGAGTTTGGACTTCTACCTTCCAGAACTAGAAAAGAATACATGTGTGTTGTTTTAAGCCATAGAGGGTGTGGAGATGGCAGTCCTAAAACAGTTTTAGGGATTCTGGCCTCATCTCTCTACTACCAGGATCTGAGTTACCTCATACACCTCATGGTTTAGGGTCTCCACAACGACATTTTCTCCGGTCTGGTCAATATAGGTCACAGGCCTCTCCAGTTTGACTCGGTCTCCGAGAATATCCATAATCCGCTCACTCACTTGGCCAGATCCACCTACAAATTTCCTCTCCTGCAAATAAAAAAGAAAATGAAAAATTTGAGAAATGGGTTACAAAGCATAGGAGTGGACATGGTTTATTAAATTGCTCGTTTCTCTCATATACCTTTACTCTGTGATGCAAAATTTCATTTTTTTGCGTGAATAGTATCTTCCCTTGACTTATTTTCTGTCTTAAGTATCTAATATTGCTATAACAGAAATACTGCAAGTGAATGATTTCAAGAATTATAAATTAGTTTTCTCACAGTTTGAATTAGAACTCTGAATTCAGAGAGCTGGCTCTAAGGCAGGGGTGGAGAACTTTTGGCCCACAAGTCATACGTACCGTATATACTTGAGGATAAGCCGACCCGAATGTCAGCTGATGCACCTAATTTTACCACAAAAACTGCATTAAAAATGTGCTGACAAACTCGGCTTATACACGAATGTATATGGTATATGGCTGGCAAAATCATTAATACTAGCTAACATAATATACCTTACCAAAGAAAAAATAATTCTAGCCATGACATTCCAAAACCGAACCAAACTCCCTGCCAGTGAGTCGACGTCAATTCATAGGAACCCTCTAGGGCAGGATAGAACTGCCTCTGTGAGTTTCTGAGACTAACTCTTCACAGATGTAGAAAGCCGCGTCTTTCTCTAGCAGAATGACTGGGGTTTCAAACTGCTGACCTTGTAGCTAGCAGCCCAATCCATAGTTTCTATGACACCAGGACTCCCTAGCCATCGCATTGGGATTGAGTTAATTAAATGTTTGACTCAATATAACAGGGTAATTTTAAGTTGATAATTGTTTACGGCCTGTGAACGACCTTAGAAATATCCAAATGGCCTTTGGCAGAATAAAAGTTTCCCCACCCTCAGCTCTAGGGGAAGGCAGTTGATCTGTGAGGACAGTCCTTGTCTCTTTAGCTTGTTTCCTTGTTCCTTGGAAATCTCCGTGTAGTTTGCCATCAATCTTCTCCTATACCTGCTTTCATAAACTTGTTCTTTTATACTTTGTAAGAAAGTGACTCAAGTACAGGATGTCCTGTACAAATCCGGCCTGATTAACATAACAGAGATAACCCACTCCTAAATGGGATTATGGTCACAGGCATAGAGGTTAGGATTTAATAACGCATTTTTGAAGAACACAAGTTAAGCCATAACATTTTCTAACGAGTGATTGCTATTTTTAAGGAAGTTACAGGCTTTCTACCACTCAATGTCCAAGCTGTGCTCTTACAAATTCCCAGGTTCCTACCTCAATTCGACCTCTCTAGCCTAATACCCAAGTCTCCATTTGTCTGGTTACCACCCCTGTTGTGTGTCCTGCCTGCATCCTTCTTATTGGGCTGCTGGGCTTGATAAAGCTCTACCTAATGTTGGGCAACTGCCTGCTTGAGCTCACTTAAACCTGTGTTCATCTTTCTGGTTATCCAGGCTCAGAACTTCATTGCCCCACCCAGCCAGTCTAATCCCTGCTGGCAGTTGCTCTTCTCCTACTGCATCAGGTACTTGCTGCTTCTGAAGCCACACAGTCATGCCAATTACTGCACTCATCAGTCTGGAGCCCTGCTAAAGTTTTCAAATGTCCTCTGCGTCATTGTGCAACCAGAGTTGAACTGACTCACCCACTGCCATTGTATTGGTTCTGACTCATATTGAGACACTATCAGATAGAGTAGAATTGGCGCTGTGGCAACTCTTTACAGGAGGAGTAGGAGTAGTTGTTGTTAGCTGCCATCAAGATGGATTCTACCCATAGCAACACTATGCACAACGAAATGAAATACTCCCTGGTCCTGCGCCATCCTCACAATGGTTCCTGTGCTGCAGCATATAGCTGCTGCCACTGTGTCAATAAATCTCATTGAAAACATGTGGTTGTGTTTTTTATTTGAAAATGTATTTCCTTTTTTTTTTGCATTTCTTTACAGAGATTTTTTTTCAACAAATTGTGTTTTTTTTTTAAATAATCATTTAGTTGAGGGCTCTTACATATAGGTCCAGCCATCCATTATATTAAGCGGATATGTACAGATATTGCCATCAACTATTTCAAAACGTTATATTTCTTCTTGAGCCCTTGGATATCAATTCCTCTTTATTTCCTCCCTCCCCACCTCATGAACCCTTAATATATTAGGAGGGTTTTATTTATGAAAATGCATTTCTGATATTCCTTTTTGAACGTTTTTAAGCTTCAAAGAACTGCTCAAGTTATATTCTTCAGATAGTGTCCTACAGAATTACCAGCTAATAATCAAATGGACATCTGCCACGGAGTACATTGTGTCCCCCCAAATTACATGTGCCTGAGGTTATAATCCCATTTGGGACTGGGTTGTCTTAGTCATGTTAGTGAGATATGATCATGTAGGGTGTATTTTGAGTCTATCACTTTTGAGCTATTAAAAAAATTAAACAAACAAGCCAGATGGATAAAACCGATGTCAAGATACAAGAAGATCTCTGAGGAACCAAGTGGCAGTAGGTGACGAGATAAGGACTGTATTGCAATGCTGACAGATAGAAAGCTTTTCTCTGGAGCTAGTACCCTAACTTAGATTTCTAAGCTCATAAAATGTGAGAAAATAAAATTCTGTTTGTGAAAGCCACTCACCTGTGGTATAGCAACTCGATTTAACAAAGATAATATCCAAACAGAAAGCTGCAAACGCACATAACGAGGTAAGCCTAATTTCCAAAGTCCATTGGCTAGTGGGCTCTCACATTGGGTGTGCCTCATGAAAGCTGCCTTGTGCAGCCATGACAACGGTATACAAGTCATCTGCCTCTTCTTTCATTAGCTCACAAAAGAAGGCTGACCACAAAGGCTGTCCATCTTCCTTTGGGACAGTGGCTGATTTTCTGTTGGAATGGTGGGAAGATGGTTGTGTACCTGTCCTCCGTTGGTTGTTGAGACGATCCTGGTTGTGCCCCCACACTGTTTCACGTACCACAGGAACCAGAGCGCAGACACTTCATGGGTCTCTGCAGTGACGCAGAGGTTCACAAAGAGAGTGGCAAGCTGCTTTGAAGATCTGCTCAGAAAGAAATGAGGACAAAATTGGCAAACACAGAACACTTAGTGGCTACCATCTTCTTAATTTTCTAGCAAGTATTCAAGTAGGAAATTTACATAGCTACCTTTAATACAATGCTTCCGGTCCCATAAAATTGTAGTGAGAACCCCAAACTGTAAATATCAGAGACTTTGGTAATATAATTTATTTATTTCTCCTTTAACCATAATACCTGACTCAGTGCTCGTGCTCTGGGCTAGCCCTACTTTTCTCCACAAAACCGTAACCTCCGTGTCAGTAAAGGCACCACCCTTCATCTAAGACCAAGCATCTAGAAATCATCTGTAATTTTCTCTCTCTCCATCACTCTCCCGCATCTAACCCAAGGAGGTGAATTAGATACGCCTTTATCCACATCTCCCCACCATCATCACCACCAACACAGCATCATCTCCTTCTAGGTGCATTACAATGGTTTGATCTAGATTAGCCTTCCTGCCTCCACTCTTCTGCACCAGTATCTATTCACCATACAGGGGAAGTTTGATGTTTTTCACCTCCCTTCCTGCCATGGTTCTCTTTCTAAAATGTAAATAAAACCATTCCCTCAACCTGCTTAACACCCTCCGGTGGCATACTATCGGAACCAGAATAAGATTCAGAACTTGTACTCTGATCTCTGAAGTTCTGAGTGATCAAGCTCAAGCCTAGATTAAAAAAAAACAACAAATTCTCATCCTGTACCTATTCCTGCTTATTTTTATGTTTCTTCAAAAAGACCCACTATTATTTGTCTAAGGAAATTATCACTGGCTTCCACTTTCCCAGCCCTCTGGTACTCTTGAGTGCAATTTCCTATCTGGAAATTACCTTAATTCATAGTTTGTTTATTATTTTTTATTGCTGTTTCCCCCACTAGGACATAAACCCATGAGAATAGAGATTAAACAGTTACTTGTTGAATGATTAAATTAGTGAGTAATTGATGAGAAATATCAGGTAAAATGATTTTAAAATCATATAAAAAGTGCCAAGGAGATACTAGGTGTTGCATCAAATATAGGAAAAGTCATGGTATCTATTCAGTTATTTTACTATATTATGGAAGTTATGATGGGAGGAAAAGTGACTAATAGAGAGCATCGATAGGTGAGTTTTGGCTGGGGAAAGGCAAGTAAATGGAGAGAATGTATGTCCTCTTTGTAAGTGCACCAAAAAAGGGGACAATCTCATTCTAAGGAATCCAAACTATCTAGCACACCCTGAAATTCACAGCACTAACCTGCTCTCTGGGGTGTCCCTAATAAAATCTTTTGTTATAAAAATCCCCTCAAGTTTGAGTATTGTTGTTGTTGTTTGCTGCCTTCCATTTATCCTTGACTGATGGCTGCCTCCTGTGCGAACAAAATGCCACCCAGTCCCGTGCCCTCCCCATGACAGATTGCAGATTGAACGATTGTGATTGTCAATATTTTCACTGGCTGGTTTTGGAAGTAGATTCCCCTCTTTTTTTTCTATCAAGCTTTCAAGCGAGTCTGGAAGTTTCACTGAAAACTGTTCAGCATCAAAGTAACATGCAAGCATCACTGACAGGCCAGTGATGGCTACACAGGATGTCCATCGGCCAAGAATAGAATCCACATGGAAGGCCAGAATTCTACCCATGAACCACCAGTGTCTTTGGAGGATTGTTAAGTTGGTCAGATGAGAAGCAGAATTTGCCCATGCTAATGATGAGTGAAACAAATTATACTCTTCCATTTATGGAAATCTTTTCACACTCCACAGTCTTTAAAGTAATTATCTTATTGAATTTTCATCACTTCTATATAAAATAGTTACTGATTTTCTCCAGGCTCCAGGAGTTTAATAATATGTAGCTACATAGCTCATCAAATGGAACAACTTGAAGTCTGATTATAACACTAAAACTCATGCTTTTTATATGTCAAAAAAAATTCTAACTAGGTTGGAAGTACAAACACCCCTAAAGGAGCATGTATCTACTTAGCACATCTTTCTTGCAGCTTCATAACTAGCTTTCATTTCTAAAATATCTGAAGAAGCCACAACAGCCTGACAGCACTTTGGTGCCCCTACCCACCATTCATACCATCAAAATGGTGTAATAGATGTGCTTCAGTGACTTAGAATTCCTTTTTTCAGTAAGATTCTTTCTGATAACGAGGGTTAGAAATGTCTCACTCATACCTTCCTTGGGAAGGCAATTTGTAGCATTGAGCTAACTCAAAGACCCAGACCATCATTTAAAATAATATTTTAAACGGAAAATATCCTTTGCTATTTACTGATATACTGTTTCTTTGGGTCTTTGTTTCATAGGTGAATTTGGAGACACACCATAAATGGAGTAATAAGGAGTAAAACTTAACATTGGTCCAACTGGACAGTCGATATTCAACATAGAGATATCGCTGCTATTCTAGTTCTGTTGTTGCCAATTTAGTAGGAAAGAAATAATCCTGGCTTCAAATGGCAGGAAATAAGAATGAATTCTCTCAGGATGGGCTGTCTATTCCTAATCCTTTATTTAATTTACACTGTAAGCATCAATGAGAAAAGAAAGAGAAGACCAATTTCTGAGAGGAAGATCAAGGAAGCTAGTACAATGAGATTTTCATATTCTTTGTTCTATTGACTTTTAAAAAAGATAAATGTTATATTTTTCTACATGAAAAATATATACAAATTATATAAATATTGGGAATCTCATGAAAGTTAAAAGATGATGACAGAATGATTATCTTCCATATTTCTGCCTTCTAAAAGTAAGCATTTATTTTGGCATATTTTTCTCAGTCTATAGCTTTATAAATGCATTTGTATAGCTGTGATCACATTGAAAATATAATACATGCTTTGGCAAAGCATTTTACAATTGAAAGAATAATCAACGTTAATCTTTGAATGATTATGATTGAGCTGTAGGTAAGAATAATCTGGATATTCTGGTGATTACTTCCTTTCAAACCAAGAAATGATATCACGCATATCTTTCTTTTAAAATTACAAAATTGCTTTCCACTCTTATAGTTCTAAAACCTCAGAGACCAAATCCGAACCCACTGCCATTGCGTTGATTCCCACTGCCAGTGACCCTCTCTAGGGTTTCTGATGTTTTGTATTTCTACAGGAGCAGGTACCTCCAACGTGCTCCTATGGAGTGACTGGTGAGTTTGGAACACCAATCTTGTGATTAGCAGCCCAATGCTTCTCTGACAGTGCCACCAGGGATTGATTGATTTAGTCATAAGGCAAATCTAAGTACAACACTAATAACGCTCACTAAGTACCACACTGGGTCAAGGGCTAATATAACAAAGTCAGGTCTCAGTAATCTAATTGGTCTTACCTTAAAGGAACTTGAACACTCTGTGTGGATAATATAGCTGACTGACCTCTTTTAAAGCTTTCATTAAATAATTTATGAATAAATTTAGCCAATTATATACTCACTATATGTAAAAATCCAAATGATACCATTTGAAAATAAATAGCATAATTTGTATTACAAAATTAATTACATTTACAAAGTCCATCCTCACAAAAGTGTTAAATAGTATTTAAAAACTGATTTACATCAAATAAATTTCAACTCATGGGAACCCCATATATGTCAGAATAGAACTGTGCTTCATAGGGTTTTTAATGGATGGTTTTTTGTAGTAAATTGACAGGCCTTTCTGCCAAGGTGCTTGTGGGTGGATTTGAACCCCAAACCTTTTAGTTAGCACTCTAGTGAATTAAGTTTGCACCAGCCAGGATCTCCTAAATAGCATTAGATAAGGGTTACAAGGATAGGCATGAATTCAATGAAATATAAAGAGTTTACTTGATTGCTATGCTGATGGTCTTTAATTTGTTTTAAGTACAAGGAGTTATTGTGTCTAATACCATGCCAGACACCAAGAAATGTGCTGGAAAATATTGGAACTGGGTCCTGCCCTAATGATATCTGTCTACATATTAAATCCTAATTCTCTGGAGATAGTTTTTGCAGTACACACGTGGAATAAAATCCTCAGAACCAACCAGAACATGCTAACCACCTTGTAATCAACTCCATAATGGGATCTGCTGTGAACAGACAACCGGTTACAGGAAAATTCGAATGGCACAGCTCTGGTACATTTGAAAGGAGGCTTCCTCCAGGGTGAGGTATACTTTTGATATATAAGTAGATGCTATAGAACATTTTTTTGCTTTTTGCTTTGTCTGTTTCCTCCATCTAGCTCATCAACCTCCAGTTTGTTTTTTTTTATTTGAGCCAACAGCCGGCCATATTGCCTAGCAATCCCCAGAGCCGTGAGCAGCCTGCCATCTGACCTGCAGACCTTGGACTCAATTGTCTCTCTAGTCACAAGTCTGGCATGCTGGCTTTGAATTCAGTTGCTGCTGCTGCCACCAACTAGCCTGTAGGGGATATAGGGTTCATCAGTTCTCAAAGCTACATGAGTCAGGAGAGGCCTCCCACTTTACACCTGACCCACAGACTTGGGACCTTCTTAGACTCAGATTGGACTTGCTCATGTCTACAACTCTGTGAGCCATTTTCTTGATATAAAATGTTCTTTATCTATCTGCGTCCATCTATCTTTATATCTCTATCTGTAAATTTGCTTTCTTTAGAGAACCCAGGCCAAGACAAATAACATTGCTAAATAAACTTGAAATATTGTCACAAGAGTGGCTGTACTCAGTCCAGCAGATCTTGTCCAGAAGTTCCTTCATTGTCATGTGGTCCCATTCTTCTGCAAGGGGAGCCTTCCATGGAGCCTCACTGGGAATCTACATTCAGATGAGATTTTTGAGATGAAAAATAGATGTCATTTTCTATCTTAAATAATCATTTAAATAGTATTCAATAATCTAGCTTATAAAAGAAAAGGTAAGCTTTCTAAATTCCTTCAATAGTTACATTTGCAGCATAATCAAAGCTGTTTATATTAAGACCTATACCACTTAGACTAAACTTAATTTATACTAATACTTCCTATGCACTAATTGGAGGAAACTTCATAATTGGACTGTGTGCAAATATGGATTACTTAATTGTTGCTTTATAGATAGCATTAGTTATTTTGACTCTTTTTATGGATTAGACATTTAGATAACATAATGTTTAAATTGGAGTTTTAAGATTACACTACTTTTTGTGCAGGTTTTTTTTTTATGGCTGAAAATTTGGACCTGGTGGAATCCCAAACACTCAAATGTATTATTTTGTTATATCCTAAGGGGTAAATAATATATAGCCATCATGTTAGTTAGGCTGACTGATATATAATCCATCGTCTCTTATCAATAGTAGTTATATACAAAAAACAGTCTATCTGACATCTGATTCTTTTAGTGGTTAGAAACAAATTCATCAATAAGTAACAAACAAGTTCATTCATTCATTTCACAAATCCTTCCTGAGAATTGCCATGTTCTGTTAGACAATGTGCTAGGTGCTAGTGGCCCAATGCTATTCTTCTTTGTTCTTTTTTAAAAAAATAACCCAACTTGGATAAATCCACAGACAGGCAAAGAAGCTTTAGGGAATTTTACCTCTTGTCCCATGTCATCCATTGTTCTCCATAGGTTATTATGATCTAGATAGGCAATTGGATTCCACACAGGTGGGAATGGTCCCCTGAAAGGGTATGATTTTCCCTGTGCAATACAAGAACATTTTTAAAGTAAACGTTCATTGCCGTGTAAAAATAATTCAATCTGACTAGTTGATAACTGTTTACAAGCTAAATCATGCTAGTGATCAATATGTGATAGACGTTCAAGTATTTTAGTTCTTTATATGCTTAACACCTTTCTTAGATTTTTAGCATGGATTCTCAGCAACTAAGTAATTCTCTGCCAAATTAATAAGTTTGGTGCCATAACAGCCATAGTTATAAAGAGATTTCTGTCTGAAAATTTTAACTCTGGCTATACAAAATTTAAACACCAATAAAGAAATGGCTAAACTGAAATCTTTTTAAAGTGATTCTTGCAAATATTCCAGAATCAGGAGATTGTGTGTCTGAAGTCTAAAAAAAGCAACTATAAACATTATGGGAGCCCACTTGGCATAGTGGTTTTGGGATGATCTGGTCAGCAGTTCAAAACCACCAGATGCTCCATGGGAGAATGATGAGGCTTATTTCTCCTGTAAAGGGTTACAGCCTCAGAAATTCACAGAGGCAGTCCTAGCCTGTTCTAAACCATGAGTCTGAATCAACTCGATGGCAGTGAGTTAGGTTAGGTATAAACATTACACACATCAAAACAAACAAACCCACTGCCATTGAGTCAGTTCTGATACCTTATAGGATGGTTTCTAAGACTAAATGGTTAGAGGAGCAGATAGCCTGATCTTTCTCCTACAGCATGTCTGTGGGTTTGATTCCTTCAGTCTAGTGTTTACCTGATAACACACACCACTGGTGCAATATAAGTTAAACATTCAAAACCAATTATGTTTTTATCCTTACCACCTTAGCGCGATTGGAGTTTCTATTGTCTCCCACCTGTGAAGCACAGGAGGAGTGGAAGCATAATAATAAGGGACAAAAGGGGATATAGGGAATACAGGAGTAGGGGCGGCGGGTAGATAGGGGGGGAAAAGAGATTTTGAAAGTAACTGATGAAGATGGGAGTGGGGAGGGAGCACTAGAATGTATTGTGATCTCATGAATCATCTTAAAGGCTATTTAACCATGGGGAAGGGGAATGTTCTAAAATTGGTGTAGGGGTAATTGTACAATTCCCCGTGATAGGATTGAACTATTGAATTATATGATATGTAAATTACTTATGAATGAAGCTGCTGAAAAAAGGAAGTAGAACAAATAATAAATTAATTAAGATAATCTTTTTTTTATAATATGAGAAAAAATTAAGTACTTGGGAATAATTTTAACAAAAGAATTGCAAGATGCTGGATTATGCCTATGGGAAATCCCCTTTGAACATTGACCAGGAATGTGAATAGCCTTGCTTTCAGACAGTGGTATTAACCCACTAGAAAGCAGGTTAATGTAGATATAGCTAAATTAAAATTTAATACCTTATTATCATTTGCTCTCCCTCTTGACCCATTTTAAATTTGTTCTTGTTTTTATTATTTTCTGCTTTCTTTTTGATTGAGGTTTTTCTGTTTTATTTTATTATTGCTTTTCCCCCCTTTCTTTCATGTTTTTCTTTATATGAAATCCAGAATAGGTAAATCTGTAGACACAGTAACTGGATTGGTAATTTCTAAGAGTTAATGAGGGGAGTTTTGGGGAAATGGGAAGCCAATAAGAATGAGTACAAGAATGAAGAAAATGTTCTAAAATTTATTGTGGTGATGATTGTACAGGTCTTTTTATTATGCTTAAACCATTGAATTGTATGATATGTAAAAGTATCAATCTATATTTTTAAAGAGATGAAAAAAATAGTCACCACCAAACTCACTGCCATTGAGTTGATTCTGACTCATAGCAGCCCGATAGGGTATAAAGCGTTTCCTCTTTTGAGTTTCTGAAGTTGTAAATCTTTAGGGGAACAGACAACTCTCATCTTTGTTTAAACTACTGACGTTGCCATGAGCAGTTCAATGAGTCCCCCACTGGAATGCAACCATCTATAGGCAGAGCCGCAGACAGGGTCCAGCAGGCGTTCCCAAGGTGTCAGATGTGCTATTTAGGTCAACATGGGAGTTTCCAGAAATCAGATCAAAGCAGAAAGATGAGCCAAGTACAAGCATCTCCTTAGGACATGTTTAAGTTCTCCTGTCAGGAACACATAACACAAAGCTAAAAGGAAGACCTGTGTCCAAGGATTAAAAACTAAACAGCCCATAAATTGCCTTTAAAGGATTAATTGATTGATGACAGTCCAGGGATTTCAGACAAAGAGCTTTTGGTTCATTTGAAAACCTGACTCTGAAGCCAGACTGTGCCTTCTGACAGAGGCTTTCAGCTGAATCAGAATAGCTGAAGATCCTCAATTTCAATCTCACCAAATCTCTGGTTCATTCAGTAAAGATTCATATCATGGTTATTTTGTAGACAGAGATACTGCAGTTATGTAAAATGGGTTGATTTCATGTTCATGCATGCATTAATTTAGTGGCCAAGTTGGTATTCTTTCCCTAAGGCAGCAATACAGTTCCCAGGGTAGAGTGGAAATACTACTAATACTTGTAAAAGTCTTTTTACTTACATATGTTTTCCATTCTCTTAGGTAAATGCTTAAGAATGGAAAAGCTGAGACATATGAAGAATGTAAGCTTAATGTCTTAAGTTGAGCAGTTTTTCACAATGATCACATCGCTGACATTTCCACCAGCAATGCATGAGAGTTATATCTGCTCCACATCTTGGCCAACACTTGCTCACTTTGCTTTTATACTTTAAGCGTTAAATATTTGTCTTGGTTAGTTGTATTTAGCTTGAAAGCACTATTCTAATTTGCACCATAAATGGTGTTGCTGGGGGAATGCAGCTTCCAATAGTCAGAAATCACTGACAAACATACTTTTTGCTTTATAACTAGATTTACAGGAAAGTTGCAAATATGTCACAGGATGTCCCCATATGTCTCACACTTGGCTTCCCGTAATGGTTAATGTCTTACATTACCATGGTTCGTTAATTTAAACCACGAGATTAATACAGGTAACATTAATAGTAATTGAATTTCAGATCCTATTTGAATTTCACTAGCGTTTCCAATAATGTCCGTTCTCTGTTCCAGGTACCCATCCAGGATATCATATTACTTTTAATCATCTTGTTTCCTCAGTTTCTCTTTGCCCTTCATGACTGTGAAAAGGCAAGGCTGCTTATGGGTGACCTCCCTTGGCTACACAAGTGGCAAAGAGAATCCCCCTCCATTCCACTTCAAGGCTTCTTGCCACAAGATTGAGGTCAGACCTTCCATCCTTCTTTACCCTATTCTGACACAAATGACACTATTTTTTACTGGGTTTGATAATTCATTGCAATGATCACACAGAACTCATGGTGAACACTCACAACTATTTTTTTAGGGAAGGTAACAAGAAACCACCGTCAAAATCTGTGAACAGTAGGATATGGTCACTAGTCCATATCAGCACCACCCCTCAGCCAGCTGTCTTCCGTTTTCAGCCTCTTCTAAGCCATGTGGTTCGTTAGCCTGTGCTTCCATGGGCCAAGAAGCCCAGCTACTGCTGTGTATCACATTCTCACAGTCCCCAAACTGCTCTTCCCGGTCTATGGTCTCCAGGCCTCAGACCCTGGCTGCCTCCCCCACTTCAGGCAAGGATTTGAAAAGTGCCACTGGTGGCACTTCTCCCTGGATGGTTCCAAGAATTCTCTGTCTCTGATTCAGAAATAGCTCTCTTACAGCCATCAATAGATACATGATATCAGCAGGGAAATGGTACTAAAACTGACTAATGCCCTTTCTTAGCGGTAAACACCCTATCTGCATATTCCCACCCAATCGTGTTGTGGGAGTTAGAGAGATGTGGATAGAAAAGTCATATTAAGGGATTTCATTTCACCGCAATGCCCTTAACTGTTTTGAAGAGTATTGACAAGGTATTCTGTAGAAAGTCCCTGAATTTGGATCTGTCTGAACGTGTTTTCAAAGTGCCCTGGTGGTGTAGTGGACTACAGATTGAGCTGCTCACTGGAAGGTCAGTGTCTTGAAGCCACCCATTCCTCCATGGAAGAACTATGAGGCTGTCTGCTCCTATGACGTGTAAAGTCTAGGAAAGCCAAAGGAGCAGTTCTATTCTGTCCTATAGGGTCACTAGGAAATGGAATCAATTCAATGGCAGGGAGTTCGTTTTCTGGAAGGGACTGGGGTCGTGAGTTTGATTTTGAAGACGGAAGCCTAGGTGCAGTGACTTTAAATGGCCTCATCTCAATGAGTACATAATATCACAATTACTTATGAAGATGTCGACTTTAGAAGATCAAGATGGTCTCTGCCAGGCTTCTCTACCATGAAGATTATATTTTTTTATTCCCATACTTTATTTGGGGGAAGCAAGTCACTAAGTTCAACCTATACTCCTATCACAAATGGTTAAATGCTGGTCTATTAACCACAATGACATTTCAAACTCATTCATAGATGCCTCAGAAAAAAGGGCTGATTCTGAAAGGTCCCAGCCGTGAAAACCCCGTGGAGCGGTCCCACTCTGTATGGATGAGGTTGTCATGAGTCAGAATCAACTCAATGGCAACTGCTTTCGTTTTTCCTGGAAGTAGAGGAGGGAATCTGTATATTGTTTAGAATTCTTCTGTAAGGAATAGTTGGCCCTTCTCCTCTATTTATTGATCCAATCAATTCAAAATGATTTGACGCAGTGACCCTGAAGGACAATGTAGAACTATGCTGTAGCATAGAGTTTGCAAGCTTTAAAATTTACAAAGATAATCTGCAATATCTTTCTCACTTGGAGTAATTTGGTGGGTTCAAACTGCTGACCTTTTAGCCAAGATTTTCACCACTGTGCTACCAGGTCTCCCCAATAGTAGAAATCCTGTCCTTTACAGGAAATCATGAGGAAACATCAAATTGAACTTCCAACTCAGAGTGCTTCCAAGTTACGTGTCTAATTACATATATCATTTTTAAAATTTTATTCTCACAACAGTGCTGTGAGGTAGACCACAAAGGTAAAGAAAAGA